CCCCAAAACCCCAAAACCCCAAAACCCCAAAACCCCAAAACCCCGTGTTGGCAGATTTATGACGAATAAATAATATTACCTAAATTAGATATGAACGTTCTTCGACTAGGAGTTTCCAAGAAAATTGGGAAGACTATGTCTCCTGCCAAATATTATATGAGAACAGCCGCTTTCTCTACATTTTATGATGTTCCATTCTCGAATCAGATGAAATTCAAGAAGGATTATCCTAGGATAAAAGCTTTCAGAGTTATGGATGAAGAAGGAAATATCATTAATAAGGAGTATGAGAATATCCCTAAGGAGAAGCTCCTTAAAATCTTCAAAGCAATGGTCACCAACAGTGAGGCTGATAAGATTTTCAACATGGCTCAGAGACAGAACAGAATCTCTTTCTATATGACCTCTATCGGAGAAGAAGCTTCGACTGTGGGCTCTGTTGCAGCTATAAAGGACCATGACCTGATCTATCCTCAATATAGAGAACAGGGAGCTTTAATCTACAGAGGTTATACTATCAAGGAGATGGCTAATCAGTTGAGAGGAAACCATTACGATGTAGGAAAGGGAAGACAGATGCCAGTCCATTATGGATCTGAGAAACTTAACTATGTGACAGTATCTTCTCCTCTTGGTACCCAAATCCCTCAAGCTTCTGGAAGTGGGTATACTTACAGGATCAAGGGAGAGGATAGAATTGCCATGACTTTCTTTGGAGATGGTGCTGCTTCAGAAGGTGACTTCCACTCAGCCATGAACTTTGCTGCTACACTAAGATCCCAAACCCTCTTTTTCTGTAGAAATAACATGTTTGCCATCTCCACACCTGTAGATGAACAATTTGCAGGAGATGGTATTGGTGCTAGAGGTATTGCTTATGGAATGAACACCATCAGAGTTGATGGAAACGACCTCTTTGCTGTCTATAATGCCACTAAGAAAGCCAGAAAAATGATCATCAAAGAAGGTGCTCCATGCTTGATCGAAGCTATTTCATACAGAGGAGGAGATCACTCAACTTCTGATTTCGCAGAACTCTATAGAAATGAAGAAGAAATGGCCAAGGTCAATTCTCTCATAGCTAAACTAGGAAACCCAATCACCAGAGTCAAGAACTACCTTGAAGCCAAGAAATGGATTGATGAGGACTATATCGATAATATCCGTAAAGAACTTGTTGTTGAGATCAGAGAATGTCTTAAAGATGCCACAAAAGAGCCATTCCCACACATTGACGAAATGTTCAACGATGTTTATTACGAAATGCCTCAACATCTGAAGGAACAGAGAGAGGAAATGTACGAACATTTGGCCAAATATGGAAAGCATTACAACTTGGATCAATTCAAGAGATAATATTTTAAGGTTTCAATCTTATTAAATAACAAGGGGTTTTGGGGTTTTGGGGTTTTGGGGTTTTGGGGTTTTGGGGTTTTGGGG